CATAAAATGATTGGGAAAAACGACTGCACGTCGACCGCCCAACGTTGCTCCCGACGCCGCCGACGTAGTCCCTCTACTACATCCCCACGTCCTCCTCCAACACAAAGAAGAACAAAAACGGCATAAACATGAACTGTTTTCGGTCCGCGCGGATTTCTTGGATCTGGGCTGGACCCCCCTCCCTGGCGCGTGGAGCGCGACAAGGGGCGGCGCCGGAGGCGGCGCCGGGGGGCCCCGGCCCCGATCCAGGAAGTCCGCGCGGAGGGTCGAAAGTTTATGTGCATGCCGATGTTTGTTTTTTCGAATCCCCACGTCCTCCTCCAACACATCCTCGTCCCTTTCCATATCAGGTATCTCCTCGTCCCTCCCCGGATCCGCGGCCACGGCGGCGAGGGCACAAGCGCAGCGGGAAAAAAACGGAGGCAACAGCGACGATCCGCGCGCTGTTACGGAGGGATTGCAGCTCCCTCCCTCCGTTTTCCTGCTCTCCTCATCGTCTTCCTCCTCCTCATCCTCCTCCTACTCTTCCTCGTCCTCCTCCTCCTCATAATCACCATCATCAGCAGCAGCATCAGCATCAGCATCAGCATCAGCATCAGCATCAGCATCAGCATCATCATCATCATCATCATCATCATCATCATCATCATCAGCAGCAGCATCAGCAGCATCAACACCATCATCATCATCATCATCATCATCATCATCATCATCATCATCAGCAGCATCAGCATCAGCATCAGCACCGGTATCATCATCAGTATCATCATTAGCCTCATAATCAGCATCATCATCACACCACCACCACCATCATCAGCACCATCATCATCAGCATCATCATCCTCATCATCATCATCATCATCATCATCATCATCATCATCATCATCATCATCATCATCATCATCATCATCATCATCATCGTCATCACCCTGATCATCAGCATCATCACCATCACCATCACCATCACCATCATCAGCAACCACCATCTGACCTTCGTGCGCGCGCCATGCTTCTACATGCCACATGCTTCCGTCATGCTGGTACCCCCTCTTGGGGGAACTATATTAGGGAGCCCACAAAGGACGTACTCGCCCAGCTATGTACATGAACACGGCCCCTTGACCCGCGAGACCGGCCGCGTGATACGAACATTCGCGCAATGCGAAATCTCGAAACCAGCGTGGATTCATGTACGTGTACGTCCTTCTTTCGCTCCTGATGTACGACAAAGGGTGCCGACACCCCCACGCCCAGACCCTCCGCCCAAGGGGGGTCGAGCCGGCACCTCTCCCGAGGCACCTTCCCTGCTCTGCGGGGCGGCGAGGACTCGAGGCACGAAGGATCGAAGCCCCCGGGAGGCAGATGCAGGAACGCGCGTAAAACACGAAGGCCTCGAGCCCCAGGAAGAGGAGGAGGAGGAGGAGGAGGAGGAGGAGGAGGAGGAGGAGGAGGAGGAGGAGGAAAGGAGGAGGAGGAGGAGGAGGAGAAGGAGGAGGAGGAGGAGGAGGAGGAGGAAGGCAAGCCCCTAAAAAAAACGGAGGGATCGAGCCCCAGGCGGGAGGGCGGCAGCGAAGCCTGCCGGGGGGCGAAGCCTGCGGGGGGGGGCGCAAGAGAGCACTCCCCGAGCACGGGCCCCGGGCCGGAAGAGCGCCCCGGGGCCTCCCGGGGGTCCTCCCGCGGGGCCTCCTCCCGGGGGCGGGGGGGGGCCGAAGCGCGCGCCTCGAGCACGCATCCCAAGAATAGGTACCGAAAGCACCTCCCATGGGGCCTCCCGGGGGCGGGAGGGCCGAGAAGCGCTCCCTGGACACGGATCCCAACGCAGATGGGTGTCTCCTGGTGCCTCTGTATACCAGACCACCCCAACCCAACCCGAAGACCCGAATTTGAATCGAATTTCGGGTCGGGGGGGGTACGGGTTCCATGTGTTTTTTCAGTGTTCCCCGACCCCCCTCCACTGGAAATCGAAGATAAATTTGGGCCTTCGGGTTGGGTTGGGGTGGTTTGGTGGGTGGTGAGCCTCCAGGGAGAGGCGCCGATACGCGCTCGCTGAGCACAGGTCCCAGTACTGAAAATGCCTCCCGGGGCCTCCTGGGGGCGGGAGGGCCGAAAAACGCTCCCCGACTCGCAGATCCCGGGAGCGTCCTGGGGCTTCTTCGGGCCTCCACCAGTGGCGGCAAGACTGCTCTGACGGATTCCCCTGTGCTGCTGAATTCCCAGAAGGCCTCAGGCGAAACGGCGGTTCCGACATTCGCGAGGAGCCGCAAGAATGCTCTGAAGGACCCCCATGTCGTGCTAATTGCGAAGAAGAAATCTCACGCGAAACGGCCGTTCCGACATCCGCTTGTAGCGGCAAGACTGCTCTGAAATATCACACCCTGTGGTGCGTGGTGCTATACTGTTGCAAAGAACTCTCAAGCGAGAGCGCCCTTCCTGAGGTTCGGGCCCTCTCTGGCCAGGGCCTCACGGGAGCGTTGGCGCTCTGGGGGGGCGGAAGACGTGC